AATATAAATATATATATAGTTGTTGTTAAGTGCCGTCAAGTCGTTTCCGACTCATAGCGACCCTGTATAGGGGGTCCGAGGTACAGCTGGTGAGTTACAGTTCATACCAAGCTTGTGGTCCAGTGCTTATCCTACAGTGCCATACCAGGACTATCCCTGGTATATATAAAATACATATATATATATAAAGGGGGAGAGAGGGAGGAAGTAGACCTTCCCAAATGGGTTCGATACCTTTGAAAGAGGACATTTAGGAAAACGTTTGGAATATAGAACCTCTCAGATACAATGAGAGACACATGCGCACACACACAAGGGGGCTTCAAAAGGTTCGTGGAAAAATGGATTTATAAGATAATAGAATTTTCCACAAACATTTTGAAACCAACAAGTTCTATATATAATCAGGGGGAAGTAGACCTTCGAAATTAGTTCGACATGTTTAACAGATTCCTCTCCTACCCTGAAGATCACACAGGTACCCTTGTACCTCTAGGAATGTTTTCAGGGTGTGAAAGCCCCCAAATGGAAAATTTTTGTTTTGCTTTGTTTCCTGTCTTGAGTCCAAGTCAATGACAGGTGGAGGAATTGTTTGCCCAGGCAAAGCAAGTGGCCTCACAGTCCAGTAAACATCTGTGATATATTACATATTGCTCGCTTCCAGAAAAACTGCTGGCTTGAATAAACTAGTATTTCTTTAGAAAGTACCTTTCTACATCAGAACTCTCAGGCCAGAAACCCCTGCAACACCAACAGGCCACAGCCGTTTCCCCTCAAATATTTTCTCTTTTCATCTGCAGGTTTGATTTTGCCAGAATCTATTGAGTTCTCCCCTTTGGGAAGTTCAATAGAATAGCTGGCATTTGAGAAGAGATCCAGGAAGGTGAATATTGGTCTTTGGAATGAATTCACCAATTTAGCCATTTCTAATTACTGCTCTCATCCACTGTTAGGGCAAAAACACTACCAAAGAAATATCTATAGTTTCTTACTGCTGTTCACATTGCAAAATAAGCCTCACTTAGGGGGGTAAATTCACTGGTGGCCACCCTTAGTTCAAGATCTAACTCTAGATGTTTGTTGTTGTTAAGTGCCTTAGAGTCCATTCTGACTCACAGCAACCCTTTATAGGGTTTCTGGGGAATGCTTGGTGAACTTGAGCCACCAACCTTGTGGTTCAAGCCAACCTTGCAGTCCAGCGCATTAACCCACAGTGCCACACCCGGACTCCTGGGGCCTACAGCATCTGGTATTGTTATTCCCAGGTAGTTTCCCATCCAAGTACTAACCAGGCCCAGCCCTGATTAATTTCTGAGATCAGATGAGATGGGATGCATTCAGGGTGGTATGGCTTTAGTGGGATTAACTCAACACTCTTGGTTTGTAGGAACACTACCAATTTCCATCCCTGTCTTCAGAGGTTTGTGAGCCACTGAAACAGCAATATGTCCTTATAGTTTTACCTGTTCCCCCCAACCCATGGTTTGCATTTCCTCTTCTAGAATGCCTATGACACAAACATATTCCACACTGCTTTGCCATCTTATATGCATATATATCCCTTGATTTGATTCATCTCATTTTAAATCAAGCCATTTGTAGATTCTTGTCATATAAGGAATCATGTTCTTAACCACAGAAAAGTATTTGTTAGATGAAATTTGAAAAATAGAGAAGCACTTCATTTTTTAGTTGAAGTAGTTCAATCCTGAAGTGCTGCTTTAATTTCATAACCTTCACAATGTCTCCAGAAAAGCGTTTATGAGTAAGGGATGGTATAAATCAGAGAAAATGAGAAATTGCTGATGGAAGAAATTAATACTTATCACATTGATTTCTGACTACTTCAACCTCAATACTACACATACTGGAAACTACAAATTGTTTCCTAATGCAAATAGTGCTACAGTCTTAATAAGAAACACAGTCGTTGTTTTCATTCATGCCACAACCGGCATTAACTTTTAATTTTTATTAAACAACCCATATGATATTAATTTTTTATGTACATTTAAAATCTGAGGAGCTTGGTGCATATGTAAATTGGGCAGCCAGAAAGCAGAGTCTTAACTACATTTTAAGTCTTGAAATGAGTCTGGAATCCATGTTGAATTTTAGACTTGCCTTTTCTGACAGCAATTTTTCTATCTGGTGTATAACCGTATACCCTAAATGAAATGCTTGTCTCTGTGATTCAGGATGGCAGCAGCTTGTTCCCAAAGGGTCTTTTCTCAGTGGTCATACAGATGCAGGATGTCATGTCTTGTTCTAGACGGAGTCAGGACAGAAATGATCTGAAACCCTCTTATGCAAGATAGCTCAAAAAAATTCATTGCAAGTTATTTTCAATTTATCTTATTTACCATGTTAAAACAAAGCACTTTATTTTGTATGTAATATTCTTAAGAAGCAGGTTAATTCACTGGACTATAAAGTCAGTTTGAACCACAAGGTTGGTGGTTTAAGTTCACCAGCCACTCCTCGGAAACCCTATACAAGATCACTATGAGTCAGAACTGACTCAATGGCACTGAACAACAACAACATACAGTCTCAGAAAACCTATGTTTTATGGTAATCCATACCAAGTAAATCTGTTTGTTCTTTGATTTAAGAATAAGCCCTGTCCTGATATTGTCTTATCATTGGTCTGCTGGCCCAGCTGTTAGTAGTACATCCTTCACTATGAAAAAACTTGTCTCTAAAACTTCCAAATATTATAAGCCCCATTCTTTGTATAAACCCTATATAAACATCTGTGTAATTATTG